TGTGTTCACTGGCCACTTCTTTAAATAAGATATAATATAATTACACTACTTCCGGGTTAAGCCGCAAAAATGAAATGTATTTTGAGATATAATTACGCACTACAGCAACCAGATAGATGCATATTACTGGTGATTATAGCCGACATAGAAAGTTACCATGACAATGGCAGGAATACGTCTATAAATATAAATACATAAACAAAATATCTGTATGTAATACAATAAGACTTTTTATGACAGTAATCTATAGATAATAACATAGTTTTCATTATGACAGCTGCACTCGTAATACGGTAGGAGGCCGTTTCCGCTTTACGGCAACTCGTCACTTCCTTTCTCCCACCGGCGCTCCGTCGGGCTTTTCCACATTTTGCGGACCGCTTGAATTAAAGGTCCATTTGGGGTGTCGCATCGATCGCGGTAAGATTGCACACGCGGATCTACAGACGTATGAAGTGTCACCGTGTTCAGACGTGTTGGAAGTTGTGTCGTGGAGAGTCTTGAGCGCGTGTGAGAGGCCCGCCGGCCGGGCTAGCTTAGCCATGCTATCTTAGCCGTGCTAGCTTAGCCGTGCTAGCGCGGCCACCTGGCAAGATGGCTACACCGATTTAGCTACACCGATAAGGTCGGCATCGTTTGGATAATTCGGGTTGTTAAATCAGCTGTTTGTTCTCGTTTTTACATATCCGATGTGTGTTTTTATTTTTGTAACTTCAGCACGTGACGTACGTGTCAACGGTTCGTGAGCTAATGTTAGCTAGCGGTGCCAGATGTTCGCTGGTGCAGCTGATCGATGGAAGATGTTGAACGACGCAGCAAAGCTTTTGTAGCAGCGGAACAATTAAATAACGTTAAGTTAGTCAATATATTCTCCTGAATGTCATCAACATACCGCCCAGTGACCGTGTGATCGTGAAGCAGTGGAGTCTCTTCTGCTAGCAGGGTTTTTTTTAACGGTTTTAATGGGAGCTTTTTCATTCATTCATTCATTTTTTACCTTTTAAGGTTTGCACATTCCATTTTCAAGTCTGAACCATCACCATCACTCCCTGTTGTACAGATGGCTAAGGTAAATGCTGCATCCATTAAACTATAACTGTACCATTGAAGCTACTGATCAGTGCCTATTTATTGATCGGCCTGAGAAATGAGTGCTGCCCGTTGCCTGAGACGCTCCGTATGTTTGTGCACCTTCACGCTGTGTCTCTAAAATGTACACCTGTCTCTCTTCTCCCCCCCGACGTCAGGTCATGGCTAAGTTCAACGCGCCTGTGATCCAGGACAATCCGTCCGGATGGGGTCCCTGTGCGGTGCCAGAGAAGTTTAAAGACATGCCCTACCAGCCGTTCAGCAAAGGAGACCGCCTGGGGAAGGTCGGTTTTCTCACGTTCAGCATTAGTTGAGGTCTCCAAATGAAATATCCAAGTTGTCCTCAGTTTTTCCTCACAGTGTTGGTTCTTCCTGTCAGGTCGCTGACTGGACCGGAGCGACTTACCAAGACAAGAGATACACAAGTAAGATCTGTTCAAAATGTCCCTCATTTGTGTCTCCTTCCCTTCTTCAAATGTAGTTCTGTGTTTTTGCTTCAAAAACAGTAGAAAATACGGATACAGTAATTTGGAGAAACTGAAAGCAGATCTTGAATGACGCTGTAAATAGTGTTGAAATCTTAATGTTTTAACCTGCATTGCTTATTTAAAACCGATTATTTCATGTCGCCGTGCGTTCCTCAGACAAGTACTCGTCTCAGTTCGGCGGCGGGAGTCAGTACGCGTACTTCCACGAGGAGGATGAGACGAGCTTCCAGCTGGTGGACACGGCCAAGACGCAGAAGACCGCCTACCAGAGGAACCGCATGAGGTTTGCTCAGGTAAACCCCAGGAGACCTCGGGCCGCAGTAAGTGCCTCCCTGTGGATTTGAAAGCCCCCCTCACAACGTGTTTGCTGGGTCCGACAGAGGAACCTGCGCCGGGACAAGGACCGGAGGAACCTGACTCAGTTCAACATGCAGACGCTCCCGAAGAGCGCCAAGCAGAAGGAGAGGTGAGCCGTCCTCCAGGACGCCACGTCGGCTTCTTGTGCTGATCGGATTCACCTGCTTCAGACTCGTTTCATATTCCGTCTTTCAGGGATCGCATGCGGCTGCAGAAGAAGTTCCAGAAGCAGTTTGGCGTCCGCCAGAAGTGGGACCAGAAATCTCAGGTTTTAATTTTTTTTGTCATTCAAAATGGATTTTCTACTTTTCTGTTTTTGTGGCTTATTAGTTTTTTTGTGGCAATGATGTTAACATTTGTTAACGTGTCCTTTGGCCCAGCTGAAACCCAGAGACTCCTCAGTGGAGGTTAGGAGCGACTGGGAGGTGAAGGAGGAGATGGACTTCCCCAGACTGATGAAGATGAGATACATGGAGGTGGCTGACCCTGTTGACATGTGAGTGACCCCGCCCCCCCCCTCAGCCGATACAGCTGTGCACACAGAAGCTGACGTCTTGTCTCCTGCAGCGAGTGCTGCGGTGCCTTGGAGCACTACGACAAAGCCTTTGACCGGGTCACCACCCGCAATGAGAAGTCGCTGAAGAGCATCAAGAGGATCTTCCACACGGTCACCACCACCGACGACCCCGTCATCCGCAAGGTAGAACGCGCTGAACACCACAGCGAGCAGCGTCCTCTCGTCGTCGTCATTGTTTGGATGCTTTGACGACATTTCGTTCCGTCGTTCTCTCTCAGCTGGCTAAGACTCAGGGTAACGTGTTTGCCACGGACGCCATCTTGGCCACCTTGATGTGCTGCACGCGCTCAGTCAACTCCTGGGACATCATCGTGCAGAGAGTGGGCAACAAGCTCTTCTTTGATAAGAGAGACAACTCTGACTTTGGTGAGGCTTTAACGTTACAATACTGTGATCTCTTGTGTGTTGATGCTGAATGTTTGATGAACTGGAGGTTTTCCTGTCGTTAAAATCCCCTTTAGCTGAATATGACCTTTAAAAAGCCTCGTGGACCAGCTGGACAATGAATTGTCGCATCTGACGGACGTGGATACTAGTTCTGTACATTTACTCCAGTTGCCAGTTTGAATGCAGAACTTTTACTTCTAATGGAGTTTTGTAACTGTGGTATTTGTAGTTTTTTACTCTGACAACATTTGACCCGCTTTAACATCTGTAACCGCTCCGCTCAGATCTGCTCACCGTGAGCGAGACCGCCAACGAGCCGCCGCAGGACGAAGGCAACTCCTTCAACTCCCCCCGTAACTTGGCCATGGAGGCCACGTACATCAACCACAACTTCAGCCAGCAGTGCCTACGCATGGTGAGCAGTTAAACCCTGGTCTTTGTGCTAAGCTAAGCTAACCAGCAGACATGAGTGGTCCACATTGGTTCTTCCCCTCTTTACGGTTTTATCAACACGTTTGTCATTTCTTTTCTTCAGGGTGGAGAGCGATACAAGTTTCCCTCCCCCAACCCATTCGTGGAGGAGGACGCGGACAAGAGCGAGGTGGCATCTGTAGCCTACAGGTAGGCCTGCTAATGCTAATGCTAATGCTGTTTAGCTGCTTGAATGGGGAAACAGGACCCACTTTTCATACCCGTTACCACACAGATCTGATGCTGCTCTTGTAACTCGTTTCTTCTCAGGCTGACGGCTTGTTTTTGTATTTCAGGTACCGCCACTGGAAGCTCGGGGAGGACATCGAGCTCATCGTCCGCTGCGAACACGACGGCGTGATGACCGGCGCCAACGGAGAGGTGTCCTTCATCAACGTCAAGACTCTCAACGAGTGGGACTCCAGGGTGAGATGTTTGTTCCTGATGTTTTAAAAGGGTCTTTGAAACGTCCCAAACTAACCCGTCTTTGTTGCTCCGTTCCTCGTCGGCAGCATTGCAACGGGGTGGACTGGCGCCAGAAGCTGGACTCTCAGAGAGGAGCCGTCCTGGCCACCGAGCTGAAGAACAACAGCTACAAGCTGGCCCGCTGGACCTGCTGCGCCATGCTGGCTGGATCCGAGTACCTCAAACTGGGGTGAGGAGCTTAAACTCACGCGGCCTAAAACAGTCCTGCAGTAAATCGTCACTCGTGTCAACGAGTTCCTCAGAACCACAAACTAAAACCTCCTGGAGATGGAACTTTAAGAACACTAAGTCATATCGTTATCTGGCCTCCCGCAGGTACGTGTCTCGGTACCACGCCAAGGACTCGGCCCGCCACGTGGTCCTGGGGACCCAGCAGTTCAAACCCAACGAGTTCGCCAGCCAGATCAACCTGAGCATGGAGAACGCCTGGGGAATCCTCCGCTGCGTCATCGACATCTGCCGCAAGCTGGACGAGGGCAAGTACCTCATCCTCAAGGACCCCAACAAGGTGAGCCGTCGGTTACCCACAATGCTCCCTGTCGCAGGCCCAACGCGTCCTCGGGGATTGTTGCGCTGACGCGTGTCCATGTGGTGTTTTTGTCTGGCAGCAAGTGATCCGGGTGTACAGCCTGCCCGATGGGACCTTCAGCTCTGACGAGGAGGAGGAGGAGGAGGAAGATGAGGAGGAGGATGAGGAGGAGGAAGGTGAGATTTAGCTGGTGTTGCTACTTTAATGTGTACGGATGGAGTTGAGTAAAATGAGCCCCGTATTATTCAGATTCATCATCCGTCGTCGTCTTTCCTCTTGTTTCAGATGAGGAGAACTGAAGTGTGCAGTCGGGCCCAGAGACTCAAGCAAGCCGTCATCACACGTTGGAACAGGATTTAATTTCCGTTTGACGTTCAATAAAGAAAACCGATTGGCCAATCGACTATTTGTGATCTCTGCTCATTTTTTGAATACGAATGTGACGCTTTTCATAACGGATGCAGGTGTAAAACACGCTGAGTGGGTTTTACAGTAATACATGTGTAAACCTCTGGATGATGGTGGGGTTGCTCTAATATAAAAAATATATATGTGAAGAATGAAAACATTCATATTTCTAAATTTAGTTTGGGTTGACTTAAAAAAAGATTGTATAGAATATTTCAACACATACTTTGTGTGTACTTATTTTTATTTGACTACATTGTTGTATTTTTCGATGCGCAGACATTGGTCTCCCAGATGAACTCCAGAGACGTGTCTCCGAGTCTCTCGTGCATCAGGCGATCGATTCGCTCGCTCTGAGCGGCGGTGAAGATGTTCTTCCAGTCGCCGATCTTACCTGCAAAGACGTCTCATTAAAAGCCAGACGGGATCTCCGCTGCCGCTGTTGTGCTCGTGTGTGTGTGTGTGACGCGTTACCTTTGCGCATGAAGTCTTTCTTCACCTTTTCTTTTGGCAAAAACTTGTAGTTGGCTTTTGAGTCTTTCTTCATGGTGTTGAACGTGGCTTTTTCCACAACGTGCTCAATGGCTGCTTCACTCAGGTTTTTCCCCAAGAAGTTGCAGATCTTGATCACTGCCCCCTTGAGGTCCTGAGGGGGGAGGAAAGAAAGAAAAGCCCACGAGTGAAGACGCTGACAAACACTTTATTGGAATTCTTCCCAGCGGGGTGAAGCGCGTCTTACTAGAACCATGTCCTCGTAGGTGAGGAAGAGGATGTTGTACTGGTCTCTGGCCGAATGCCAGTCCCGTATGTGGTCAAACCAGGATGATGCTCCAACTGTATGATACGATCACACAGGTTACACACGAGAGGGTAATGCGACACGTCTGCATGTTGCATCATGGAGATTTTACAGGACCTTGTTGAAATGGCGTTAGAGAGGGTAGAATCAACGAAGTATAAACAAAGCTCAAGGCTTTGCATAGTAGTAGTGTGGCATGAAGTGTTTTTACTTCGTATTGTCTATTTTTCGAATGAGATTCTTTTGCACTTTCACCTATTGTGTACATTTTTTTTATTCAGTAAATTATGAAAATATAATATATGTTCATAAACAAGTACAGGTATTGTCAATATTTTCTTTTTTTCAAAATAAAATGAAACATTTTCCCCAATGTTTCTGTTGATTCTTCATCGTCTTCCAGGTTCCTCACCATTTCCTATCAGATACTGCTCAAAGAAGTCCTCGAAGCTCTTGGGGGTCTCCAGGTCGCCACAGTTGCTGCTGAAGTGGAAATAGGAGACGATGTTGTCCTTTGGATTCCGCATCACGTAGATCATCTGACACAAGAACAAACAGACGCACCCAGAGATTAACACACACACCTTTATTTCAGTGCGTGTTCACGCTTCGTGGACTACTGACTTTGGCCTTTTTGCCCCTCAGGCCCGGGGGCATGAGAGCCGGGGTGAGGTGAGAGGAGAAGAGCCGGGGGGAGGGTCGCAGTGCGTAATCCGCTCTCCCCTCCGTGTACTCCAGCCACGGCATCTGCTCCAGGTTGTTTGGATATTCCTGCAGAGCCCCGTCCGACTCGCAGATGGATATGATGATCTGTTGAGTCCATATGGTTCCTGTGGGTCAGCGTACCGGGTCAGTACACATGGTTACTGTGTTATTAAATAACAAACTGTCATGTAATGAAAAAGAAGAGAAACGTTAGGTCAAAAAATGTTTTTAAAAAGAAAGTAAATATGTGTCTAAAAATGAAAAGACAAATTTCAGTTTGAACATTAAAAACAATTTGTAAAGTGGAAAAATTTAATGGAGAAAGGTCCAAAAATATATCTAAAAGGTTTTAAAAAGCAGTCAAAATATGTTTCTAAAAATGTCACAGAAATAAAGACCAAAAATATTTTGAAAAAGAAGTCAAAACATTTAGGTAAAAAATGTTTTAAAAAACAGTCAAAATACGTTTTTTCTAAAAAATGTCACAGAAAAAAAGATAAAACATATTTTGAAAAATAAGTCTAAACATTTAGCTAAAAAATGTTTTAAAAAACAGTAAAAATACGTTTTTGATAAAAATGTCATAGAAAAAAATATTTTGAAAAAGTAGTCAATTTTTAGGTAAAAAATGTTTTAAAAAACAGTCAAAATACGTTGTGTCTAAAAACGTCATGAAATAAAAAAGTAAAAATATATTAGGTAGAAAGTATTTTGGCTTCTTTCGGTATAGTTCATTGCAGCTGGGTAGACACTGCCACCACCAGTACACTTTAAATATAACAGTCTCTTTGTGAATCCATGAATACTGAGCATGCTTTATGTACAGAAACATAACTTCAAAACATCACAAGGATGCAGCGTCATGTCTGTATAACGTAAATGTAAGTAATGTGATGGAGTCACGTGATGAAGAGTAGCTCGTCTCACCCACCTGACTTTGGATAAGTGACGAGGAAGACGTCACTATCTCGGATTTCAAAGCTCTGCAGGGACTCGATGTGCTCTGGAGTAGTGAGGCCGATGCCAAAGTTGTAGTTTTTGTACCTACAGAGGTGGTCGGTGATCTTCTCCATCTTCCTGAAGCACACAGAACCGAAGGAGGAATGTCAAAAACCAGGAGGACGTCTCGGCTGGACTCTGGACTTTGACATTTGCGCGTTAATGGCTTCTTCCTGTATAGATATGGTATCACAGCCGGGTAGACACTGCCACCACCAGCACGCTTTAAATATAACACAAACCCTCCTGGAGTCTCTGTGAATACTGAGCATGCTTTATGTACGGAGACATAACTTTAACGTCATGTCTGTAAAACGCACAAATAGTAGAAATACTAGAATTACTCAGGTGTATGTAGACTTTCAATGAAAGGAAAAAGATGGAGTGAAATCATTTTGGATTTTAGAATGTCAGATTACATCAATGGTAACCGAACTCAAAGCCATTAGAGACAAAATCCAAAGAAGCCTTATGATGTTAGCATTAAAAACACTAGACTTTAAGGAGGAGTTTTGGGTTCAAATTCATTTTATTGATCAAGTCTGTAATGTGATGAAGCAGAAACGCAAGGACAGAAATAATAACAGAAAATCAATTGAGTAAAAATCGCACAAGCGATATTCCTGCAGTACCCGTTACCAACAACAATTGGACAATATTGTACATCTGAAAGTATTTATATAATAATATTCATTCATATCATGATAATTTTATTAACAGAAAAACACATTTTAAAATTCTTATTCATCGATTTGTGCAAGAAGAATGTGCATATTTAGCTTTACATACTGAATGAATAGAACATGATTTGCATATTTTGCTGTAAGAGAGCACAATTTAAGAGTTGATAATCCTCTGTGGTCACTGAAGCACTACTGCACAACACTTTTCTTATTCATCTTTTCTTTTTCATCAACTTTTCCTTCCAATTCCTCCATGTTTCTTCATTCCCTTCTCTGGATAAAATGGCGTCTCCAGGATAACTTTGTTCTCCTCTGCTGTCGGCAGACCTTTGCACAGGAAGTCATAGATCTTCTGCCATGAGTCCAACTCGGAGCGCCAAAGTGCGGCTCTGGCTCGGATGAACTGTGAGACTTCGGTCTCGCTGCCGTTGGCCAGACCGATGCTGTCTTTGCAGATGAAGAAGATATCCATGCCCAGGAAGAGAGCGTTGAGCCCGATGAGACCGGCCCTTGCCGACCCGGAAATCTTAACAGCTTTGGTCGCATCCACAAGTCCATCGATGCCTTTTCCAATAGCACCAACGTTGTATAGCGCCATGCCTACTCCCAGAACCACATCTTCTGGGCTTGAAACCTTCTTGCTGACCTCCTCCAGACAATCCTGGAGAATCTGCACATCCTCCATGAAGCTCTGGAAGATCTCCCCGGCTTGCTTTTGATGTTTATGGTTTACACCAATCTCTGTGGCAGTGGTGACCAATCCGTTGACCCCGCTGGTGATTCCCATCCCCACCCCAGTCATTGTGAGAGCGAGAGACACTCCAGCTGTTACAGGAATCAATGCCAAACCGATGATGGAAAGCACACCTCCAGCTGCCCCCACTGAGCTGCCTACCACACTAGAGATCTTTGCCCCCTTATTCATCTGGTCCAGCTGAACAGCATTCTCCTCAAGGTCTTCAAGAAACTGAAGCATCCGAGGCTGTCGCTCTTCAAATTCAGAGATGAAGTTAGAACATTCCCCCTGAAACAAGAACACCGTCCGGAAGCTCTGGTTCATCCTAACGAAAGGAAAAGAAGGTTAAATGTCACTTTAAAATTCAGTATGAAGAAAATGATTAGAACCTGGTTCTCTTTGGAGGAGACAATGAGGCCAAAATAATAGAATCAACATAAAAGAACAAGTGGATACAATCTGAAATAAAGGACACATTCTAGTGTGTGTTGACTCCTGTAGGACAACAAACATAAAACAACTATTATTTCATTTCACTATGGAAAATTTTTAATTAGAACCTGGTTCTCTTTGGAAGACTTGTTATGGAGGCCGATGGTGGAAGTTCTACAGTCTACATTCACATGCCCCTCAATCATTGCACCTTCCTCAGTGTTGACATGTGTTGGGAAAAGAACATAGATGCTTATTGGTTACCTGATTTCCTCAAGATCCTTAATGTGACGAAGCATCCTTTGAATATCATCTTCAGACAAATCCACATCAAGATCCACCAGGGTTTCATCGTTCATCTCTATGCAGAAGTCACTGAGGGAGCTGAACAAAGACACAAATTCATATTTTATAATATTTGTATTTATTTTGCTAAATATGTATATGATTATGGAAATATCTATTGACCTTTTCTCTAACTTCTCACAGATTGTCTGTGTGGTTGTAATGTACTTGTCCAGCTGATACGAGAGCACCTCCACATTGTGAAGTTTGGGAAGGAAGAAGGCTGTTGCATCTCTTCTGAACCCGATGAGGAGATGGCAGGTCATCTGTGCAGCGCTGATCACAACCTGAACGTCTTCTGGGCGGATCCCTTCTGGCAGATGCAACATGGAGTTCTGGTCCATGAAAACATGAAGCGAGGTGACCGCCAGGTTCTCCACTGCGTCCAGAAAGCAGTGGAGCTCCTCCAGACCTCCCAGAGTGTCCTTCAGCACGGCGGCCAGCTCCGCCTCCAGCTCGGCGCGCCTGCTGTCTGCAGTCACCTGGGTGAACTTGCTCCCTATGTACCGAAAAAAGGCCTGGACTTTGTTGTTGGACTGGGTGACGTGGTTGACGTTTGGGCTGATGTTTTCAGCTCTTTCTTTGATGTCCATCATCATGTCCAACTCGATCTTCCTCCCAAGCGTCCACTTATGGACCCGCTCACAGAATTCTCTCACTGTGTTGACGTAGATGAGGGTGTCGTTGACGTAGCAGCACATGGCCTCCTGAAGTTCCTTCCTGTAAAGCATCCTCCTGTTAGTGAAAGTTCAAACGTAATTCAAGCTACGGTGTTGCTGCTGGGAGCTTTGGACAGGACTCAAGACTCAGAAAGAACTAACTACACTTAACTAGAAAGACATGCAGAGACACTAAACGGGACAAAAATTACACACAAAAGAAACTCCCATAATGACTAAAGAGATGCAGACCAGTAAAACGTCTACAAAGTAGACGATAACTAAAAAAAAGACAAAGGGAAAAGTATTGTGTTCGTCGCGTAATGAGCATGCGTGCTAGTATTTATAACGACTAAAAGGCCTGCTTGTACATACCTACACTGTCTAGATACACTCGTGTTCTGGGATTCAGGATCCCTAAAATCAATCCCAAGGAAATTCTGAGGGTGTTGTCAGATGATCGAATACTTTCCAGAACATAAATGTTGTGGAAATCAAACCGCAGACCGAAGCAGAAGAGCCGTGGAAACCAGAATCTGATCAATGCGGTGAAACCTTTTCAATAGTAATTATTCAACCAAGGAATATAAGAGAGTTGTTGAATTCTCTTATTTGTTCTTTGGGACTCCAAAGGTGCTCTGAGGGTTACACCTCAAGGGTTCCTGTTGCATATCATCAGACTGTGGTCGAGCTGTTTTAACAACTAAGACGAAATCTTAGCTCACTCCGGTGAACCTTCGGTCAAACAGACCTGTTTTAACTGTTTTTTGTGGCATGAACACAGTGGTAGTAGTAGCCACAGAACACTGCATACATGCATACAAACTGAGTTTCCTCTTTTATAACAACTCATTTTACCAATACACAAACCATTAATGCTAAGATAAGATGATCCTGCCGCGGGCAAAGGGTAAAGTGTTAACAAAGACGTTGTAAAAAAACAAGAAAAAGAAATAGCAAGAATCCACAATAATAAATAATGTGTTTAATGAGTTTCAGAAAACGTAATTTTCAACATTCAAAAGATTCTTCGAGCGCAAAATGTATTTAACGTAAACAAACACAAACTTTATCTGACACATTTCCTGTTTCTCTTTTCCTGTATAAAAGTATCTCTAGGATTTAAAGTCTTTACCTTGCAGCAGACATGTTCCTCGTATGTCTTCGGTTCTCCATTTTATTACCTGTATGGTTAGAATATGAAGAGAACTAATGTGCTAAATGTTTGAATCTGATCCGCCGGTTTCCTTCTTGATGAAATCTTCAAAGGCTGACTTCGTTGGGTTTCGTTTCCTCTTCATCATCGGGTAGAAGTCAACAACCGCACCCAGAGGGGCCTAACCAACTCAAGGCTCTATGTGACAGAACTCTGACGGTAAGCGTGTTGCGTCACTTCCTGTTGCCAGCGTGTTTGATGTCATCGAACTTTTCACAGCTCTAGCTATACTGAGTTGATTGTAGCGTGATATTTTTTGCTCCAGAGGTGTTAGCTAACTACAGACTATCTCTAATCTTCCCTTCCTCTCTAAGATCCTTGAGAAATCCGTCGCAAATCAATTATGTGACTTTCTACAAAACAATGCTTTGTTCGAGGATTTCCAGTCAGGATTTCGAGTGCATCACAGTACAGAAACAGCACTGGTGAAAATTACGAATGATCTTCTACTTGCATCGGACCAAGGACTCATCTCTTTTCTTGTCTTGCTGGACCTCAGTGCCGCATTTGATACCATAGACCATTGTATCCTGTTGCAGAGACTAGAACATTTAATTGGTATCAAAGGAACTGCACTCAGCTGGTTTGAATCCTACTTATCGGACCGATCCCAGTTTGTGCTTGTAAACGGTGAATCCTCAAAGACCACCAATGTTGGTCACGAGGTCCTACAAGGTTCTGTACTTGGACCGATTTTATTTACCCTCTATATGCTTCCTTTGGGCGATATTATCAGGAAACACCGCATAAACTTCCATTGTTATGCAGACGATACTCAACTGTATCTGTCGATCAAGCCAGAAGAGACGGACCAGTTAGTTAGACTTGAAGAATGTCTTGGAGACATCAAAACTTGGATGACCGGCAACTTCCTGATGCTAAACTCAGAAAAAACGGAAGTTATCCTGATAGGCCCAGAGCGCCTTCGAAGCCAGCTGTCACGTGATACAGTTTTTATGGATGGAATTGCTCTGGTACCCAGCAGCACCGTCAGGAATCTGGGAGTTCTCTTCGACCAGGATATGACCTTCAACACAAGCGATATTCCTGCAGTAGTCGTTACCAGTGTTGCACTTTTACTACTTTAATATTGTACATATGAAAGTATTATACAATAATATTTATTCATAACAGGATATTTTTATTAACAGAAAAACACATTTTATAATTCTTATTCATCAATTTGTGCAAGAAGAAGAATGTGCATATTTAGCTTTACATACTGAATGAATAGAACATCATTTTTTGCTGTACTTTCATTGTTCATTAGTATTTATCATTAGGTAAAGGGCTAAATTACACAGAATAATGTGTCACATGCTTGGTTTATTTTAATTGGTTTATGTCCAGAGAAGTACAGCTAATTAAGAAGTCCCTAAAGACACATTTTGATGGCGTTTACTTTAAGAGTTGATAATCCTCTGTGGTCACTGAAGCACTACTGCACAACACATGCCTTTTTCTCATCCATCTTTTCTTTTTCATCAACTTCATCAAATGAAATTTTCTTTCCAATTCCATGTTTCTTCATTTCCTTCTCTGGATAAAATGGCATCTCCAGTATGATTTGGTTCTCCTCTGCTGTCAGCAGACCTTTGCACAGGAAGTCATAGATCTTCTGCCATGAGTCCAACTCGGAGCGCCAAAGTGCGGCTCTGGCTCGGATGAACTGTGAGACTTTGGTCTCACTGCCTTTGGCCAGACCGATGCTGTCTTTGCAGATGAAGAAGATATCCATGCCCAGGGAGAAAGCGTTGAGGCCGATGAGACCGGCCCTTGCCGATTTGGAGAGGGCCAGAGGGCCTTTGAGCGCCGCCTGACCGATATCGGGGAGGTCCGCCGCCACCTTGGGCGCGTTCCGCAGCGCTTTCCCTTCCTGCATCGCCACTTTGCCAGCACCTACAAACAGGTCTTCACTCTTTAACATCTTAATAGCGTTGGTCGCATCCACAAGTCCATCGATGCCTTTTCCAATAGCACCAACTTTGTATAGCGCCATGCCTACTCCCAGAACCACATCTTCTGGGCTTGAAACCTTCTTGCTGACCTCTTCCAGACAATCCTGGAGAATCTGCACATCCTCCATGAAGCTCTGGAAGATCTCCCCAGCTTGCTTTTGATGTTTATTGTTTACACCAATCTCTGTGACAGTGGTGACCAATCCGTTGACCCTGCTGGTGATTCCCATCCCCACCCCAGTCATTGTGAGAGCGAGAGACACTCCAGCTGTTACAGGAATCAATGCCAAACCGATGATGGAAAGCACACCTCCAGCTGCCCCCACTGAGCTGCCTACCACACTGGAGATCTTTGCCCCCTTATTCATCTGGTCCAGCTGAACAGCATTCTTCTCAAGGTCTTCAAGAAACTGAAGCATCCGAGGCTGTCGCTCTTCAAATTCAGAGATGAAGTTAGAACATTCCCCCTGAAACAAGAACACCGTCCGGAAGCTCTGGTTCATCCTAACGAAAGGAAAAGAAGGTTAAATGTCACTTTAAAATTCAGTATGAAGAAAATGATTACAACCGGGTTCTCTTTGGAAGAGACAATGAGGCCAAAATAATAGAATCAACATAAAAGAACAAGTGGATACAATCTGAAATAAAAGACACATTCTAGTGTGTGTTGACTCCTGTAGGACAACAAACATAAAACAACTATTCTTTCATTTCACTATGGAAAAATTTGATTTAGAACCTGGTTCTCTTTGGAAGACTTGTTATGGAGGCCGATGTGGAAGTTCTACAGTCTACATTCACATGCCCCTCAATCATTGCACCTTCCTCAGTGTTGACATGTGTTGGGAAAAGAACCCAGATGCTTATTGGTTACCTGATTTCCTCAAGCTCCTTAATGTGACGAAGCATCCTTTGAATATCATCTTCAGACAAATCCACATCGAGATCCACCAGGGTTTCATCGTTTATCTCTATGCAGAAGTCACTGAGGGAGCTGAACAAAGACACAAATTCATATTTTATAATATTTGTATTTATTTTGCTAAATATGTATATGATTATGGAAATATCTATTGACCTTTTCTCTAACTTCTCACAGATTGTCTGTGTGGTTGTAATGTACTTGTCCAGCTGATACGAGAGCACCTCCACATTGTGAAGTTTGGGAAGGAAGAAGGCTGTTGCATCTCTTCTGAACCCGATGAGGAGATGGCAGGTCATCTGTGCAGCGCTGATCACAACCTGAACGTCTTCTGGGCGGATCCCTTCTGGCAGATGCAACATGGAGTTCTGGTCCGTGAAAACATGAAGCGAGGTGACCGCCAGGTTCTCCACTGCGTCCAGGAAGCAGTGGAGCTCCTCCAGACCTCCCAGAGTGTCCTTCAGCACGGCGGCCAGCTCCGCCTCCAGCTTGGCGCGCCTGCTGTCTGCAGTCACCTGGGTGAACTTGCTCCCTAAGTACCGAGAAAAGGCCTTGACTTTGTTGTTGGACTGGGTGACGTGGTTGATGTTTAGGCTGATGTTTTCAGCCCTTTCTTTGATGTCCATCATCATGTCCAACTCGGTCTTCCTCCCAAGCGTCCACTTATGGACCCGCTCACAGAATTCTCTCACTGTGTTGACGTAGATGAGGGTGTTGTTGACGTAGCAGCACATGGCCTCCTGAAGTTCCTTCCTGTAAAGCATCCTCCTGTTAGTGAAAGCTCAAACGTAATTCAACCTATTGTGTTGCTGCTGGGAGCTTTGGACGGGACTCAAGACTCAGAAAGAACTAACTACACTTAACTAGAAAGACATGCAGAGACACTAAATGGGACAAAAATTAGAGACACACAAAAGAAACTCCCATAATGACTAAAGAGATGCAGACCAGTAAAACGTCTACAAAGTAAACGATAAATAAAAACGGCAAAGGGAAAAGTATTGTGTTCGTCGCGTAATGAGCATGCGTGCTAGTATTTATAATGACTTAAAGGCCTGCTTGTACATACCTACACTGTCTAGATACACTCGTGTTCTGGGATTCAGGATCCCTAAAATCAATCCCAAGGAAATTCTGAGGGTGTTGTCAGATGATCGAATACTTTCCAGAACATAAATGTTCATAAATGCAGAAGAGCCGTGGAAACCAGAATCTGATCAATGCGGTGAAACTTTTTCAATAGTAATTATTGAACCAAGGAATATAAGAGGAATTCTCTTATTTGTTCTTTGGGACTCCAAAGGTGCTCTTAGGGTTACACCTCAAGGGTTCCTGTTGCATATCATCAGACTGTGGTCGAGCTGTTTTAACAACTAAGACGAAATCTTAGCTCACTCCGGTGAACCTTCGGTCAAACAGACCTGTTTTAACTGTTTTTTGTGGCATGAACACAGTGGTAGTAGTAGCCACAGAACACTGCATACATGCATACAAACTGAGTTTCCTCTTTTATAACAACTCATTTTACACAATACATAAACCATTAATGCTAAGATAAGATGATCCTGCCGCGGGCAAAGGGTAAAGTGCTAACAAAGACGTTGTAAAAAAACAGGAAAAAGAAATAGCAAGAATCCACAATAATAAATAATAATGTGTTTAATGAGTTTCAGAAAACGTAATTTTCAACATTCAAAAGATTCTTCGAGCGCTATAGAACATCTGTTGTAACCAGTGAAATTAAAGTGTTACTGCATTCAACATTACTGATCTGCATTCATGCAACACCAAAAACAACACTTCAGTGACCAAAATGTATTTAACGTAAACAAACACAAACTTTATCTGACACATTTCCTGTTTCTCTTTTCCTGTATAAAAGTATCTCTAGGATTTAAAGTCTTTACCTTGCAGCAGACATGTTCCTCGTATGTCTTCGGTTCTCCATTTTATTACCTGTATGGTTAGAATATGAAGAGAACTAATGTGCTAAATGTATGAATCTGATCCGCCGGTTTCCTTCTTGATGAAACGTTCAAAGGCTGACTTCGTTGGGTTTCGTTTCCTCCTCCTCATCAGGTAGAAGTCAACAACCGCACCCAGAGGTGGACCTAACCAACTCAAGCCTAATCAGCTGAGCACTGTTTACTCAAAGGGCTGTACAACCTTTTAGAGCACAATAAAAATGTATTACTGTAACATTCCAACAGCATCTTTATTCCCCTCTTCTTTTAGTCATTTCTTACGTAACTGTTTCTCCTCCTTCATATTTTTAGCTACAGAAACCGTTCAGCTATGAAATAATTCAGGTGTTTTAGGAGAGGGGTGCCATGACTTTGTAGCTTACTTGATTAATATAAATCAATATTTGTGTGTAATTTTATTTTTTAAATAGTTTTCCAATGAATTAATGAATTCCAAACTTCTTCAACTTTCAAATCTTTCTTGACAAAACCCTAAACTATTGAAACAATTCAGCTTTTTGATATTGTAGGATAATAGAAACAAATTGATGACCCGGTTCATAAAATTAATAAAAGTGCATATAGTGTACACCAGAATACAGCCATGATTCTGAAACTGTGTAATCAATAAAATGACAATATTGTAAAACCACTGTAATTCTGCAACTGTAATAGAATAATACCAACGTACAGTTATGATTGTATTTGATGTAATGTAATCAACTGGAATGCATGCATGTAATACTTGAACAACAACTGATATTGACTAAGGGGAAATCCGAGTTCTTTTTCCAACTTCGTTCGGTGTTTCACTATGGGAATCGCCTCGGCGTGACCAACTAAGGAAGCTCCAATGACACCACGTCTGTCAGTGACAGACAGGTCGGACTGTGCTGGGGCCCCGCCCCCTCATATTATCACAGTCGACCGCCCCTCGCAAATCATTCTGGTTTTCTTCCCGTGAAGAACTATAGCTCCCTCAGCTTATCTTGGCTAGCTCTGATTGCTGCTTAACGTTTCGCAGACGACCCATTAGGACGCGTCGCCGAACGCAGCTCCTGGCCGTAGTCTGGGTTTGCTGGGTAAATGACTTCATAGAAGTGTATCTGGTTACTACACAGTATTAGGGCAGTGTCTGCGTCAAGGCGAACTGTTCTCCCGACGGCTCGGTATTTGATTACCTGTGCCTTCGGTGACTGAGTTATCTATTATCTCGGGCTAACGCGTTACGGCGAGCCTTCCGGGTCTCGGTTAGCATTAGTTTGCTAGTCAAGCCGAGTAACCGTTGTTTTGCTAACGTGTCACGACGAGCAAACTGTTACGGTGCGCGGTTAGCGGGATTAACCCCCGGTTACGAAACAATTTACAGTCAAGCTAAGCTAACGCTACGCCCGGCTAATTGTGGTGTATTCCCCTCTCTTCTCAGTTGCTATGTCGGCCGCTACCCCCGCCAAAGGGTCAGAGCTGAAGGCCAAAGAGGCTGCATCCCGCCCGTGCCCTGCGTCATGCGGGGCGTCCATCTCGGGCAGGGACCCTCATCCGCCAGGCGGCTCTGGCAGACCCACAGTCCTGTCTACACTGTGCGCCAATGCCGGAGAAGATTTGGGAGAGACGGCTCAGAGTGGCGGCATCCTCAAAGCAGGACCCGTGCCTGTCTGGAACTGCCCCAAAAGCCTCAACCAGCGCCCACCTGCCGCGAGCTTCTTCGAGCTGGGCGGACATGATGGATGCTGAGTCCCCGGAAATGCCTCCACTTTTTGAGCAACTGCTCGAACTGGAGCCGGGTGGTGAGGACGCAGAGGGCGATCCCAACTCTGACCTCCTTGACGTGGACGACATGGAAGAGGAGGAGGATGACTCCACTTTTCCTGTCGAACCACCCAAACCCCCCAGTGCATCTGATGTTGTCCCCCCAGTGGACAACAACCTGTATGAGGTCTGCAAACGGGCCGCGTCAAAATTGGGCATACTACAATGGCCAGCAGCCCAAGATGCTACAGGGGTGGAAATAGACCTGTACGACGGTAAAAGGCTGCCGCCAACCCTCCCGCCGTCTAAACAACTTCTGCCATCAAGGAGATGGGCAGGTACTGGTCCAGCCCGTTCAAGAGTAAGCTCCCCACCAAGGGCTACCCTAAACTGGAGGTTGATGGGATGGGAGAGCTGGGCCTAGCAGGCCCACCAGAGGTAGAACCTTCAGTGGCTTACCACCTCCACCCAAACTGCCGCTCTCTCTCAGCTTCCTCTAACATCACCCTGCCTAATAAAACAGAGCGCCTCACCGCCTCGGTTTTGCAGAGAATGTACCGCTATGCGGCACAGTCAGTGTGTTCGCTAAACGCGGTGACTTTGCGGTCTGTGTACCACGGAGAAATCTTAGAGGAGATGGGCAGGCAACTGGACTCTGGACTATTTGCGTGTTAATGGCTTCTTCCTGTATAGATATCTGGTATCACAGCTGGGTAGACACTGCAACCACCAGTACGCTTTAAATATAACACAAACCTTCCTGGAGTCTCTGTGAATACTGAGCACGCTTTATGTACGGAGACATAACTTTAACATCATGTCTGTAAAACGCACAAATAGTAGAAATACTAGAATTACTCAGGTGTATGTGTATGTCACCAAACCCGGCCCCGTGGCATGAGATTTGCGTAGTAAATGATCTCATCCTCCGCTCATCACGCGGTGCGGTGCAAGGCTGCGGCCGTGTAATGGGACTTGCGGTCTCAGGCGAGAGGGCCCTATGGCTGAATCTTTCGGGCCTCAGCGATGTGCAGAAGGCAGAGGTGATGGATGCGAGTTTGTATTTCAAATTCCCTGGTGTTTTCCAGTTCTCCAGAGGAGCTTTTGATGTTTCTCCCCCCTCATGTTCAAGGGAGGGAGTATCGGGGGCGGCGGGTAACACAGTGTCACCAAGCACTTCTTCCCACCTCAAACAAAGTTATAAAGTTTGTATTCTCGCAGCCAGGCCGAAGGCCGAGGGCGAAATACATGATAAAAACAAATCCATGTCATGGCCCCATAATCCCCACAGGGGGAGCTCACGCTCCACCGAGGGGAGGCCGCGTCCTCCAGGTGAGGGAAGTGACGACACCGTACGGTGCGTTCAGCCCACTCACTGGTCGGGCAGAACGGTGGCGCGCATGCGCAGTGCATCCGTGGGTCTTATCCACTATTTCCCAGGGGTACAGACTACAATTCGCTATGAAGCCACCAAGATTCAACAGGGTGTTAGTTTCAGTAGCCAAGGGCGATTCAGCTCGAGTTCTAGAGGGCGAAATAACATCGCTGTTGAACAAACAGGCGATCAGAGCTGTCCCGAGCGAGGAAGCTCAGCGGGGTTTTTACTCCCGCTACTTCCTCATCCCAAAAAAGGGGAGTACTTCCCTCCGCCCCATTTTAGATCTCCCTGTGTTAAACAGGCACTTACGCAAGTACACGTGCAGGATGTTAACACACAAGGGGCTCTGTCGTTCAATACGTCCGGGGGATTGGTTTGTAACGATCCATCTCTCAGACGCTTATTTTCATATCGCCATTTATCCAGCACACCGGAGGTTTCTCAGGTTTGCTTATCAGGACAAAGCCTACGAGTACCAAGCCATCCCATTCGGGCTGTCATTATGAATGAGATGAAATTTGTTTCACTTAAGACAGCCTTGCTCTTGGCTTTAACCACAGCAAAGCGTGTGAGTGACTTACAGGCTTTATCCATTCGCCCTTCCTGCTTATAGTTTTCTCCAGGGCTCACTAGGGTCTGTATGCGGCCCAACCCGGCTTTTG